TCAATTACATACAGTTGTTACTCCTATGGGAGAGATGTGAACGTCCTATTTTGGAGCACGCCAGATGACCTACTTTCGAGCCATGCCACGGGAATGGCCATAAGTCGATTCAGGTTTAACGGATTTTTTCTATTTTTGGTATGTGAATGAATAAGGATTGCTCCAAACAGATAACACGGGTTTTGATGTTTTTTTTTATTAAATTATGTAGATTAGGTATTGTATTAGGTAGATTATGTAGGTAATTAGCTCAACCTAATTTTGAGTCGTTCTTAACTGCGTGTTTGCTGCATTTTTTAGGGGTAGCGAGATGCGAGAAGATAACGTGTGGTTGCGTACTATACCCACTCGTACCTTTGACCAAAATAACAGAAAAATGTCAATCTAACTGGTTAACAACTCTACAATCATACTTACGTGTAATATTGTGTTTTATATTGTTTGTTACACTAATATTTGACTGGAATATTTTATTGTTTTTCTTTGCGCGATGATCGAAAACCAAAATGGTGATCATTTAGGCGTAGCGGCATCTGTCGCCCCAGATTTCATACTCAATCTTAAACATTTATTTTTCGCGTTCAAAAATTATGCATATATAATATCAAGAGTATATAATGGTGAGCTATAGTGTCATTTGAACTTTCATTTACTTACGTGTAATATTGTGTTTTAGATTGTTTGTTACAGTAATATTTGACTGGAATATTTATTGTTTTTATTTGTGTGATAATTGAAAACCAAAATGGTGCTTATTTAGGCTCAAATCTGAAACATTTATTTTCGTGTTCAAAAATTATGCATATATAATTATCAAGAGTATATAATGGGAGATATGCTATACAATTGTAAGCTATATAGTGTCATTGACACTCTTTTACTTTTACTCTATATGGTGATGTAATACCCTAATATCTTCCATATTTTTGAATATTTTCTGTTATAAAACGTTTCACAGTTCTCAAAGTTTTTTAATAAAGTAGCTTTTCAATAAATTTCTGAACTTGCATCTTTGATCCTGCCAGACCACAAACACTGAAATATTGAGAGATGTCTCATTCATGTGGCAGCACATATCAGTGGTACGTAATGTATTGGGTAGTTTCCATGTAACGTGCCAACATCTCACAACCCTGTGGTAGCTGCACCCTCTATGATGAGTCGATGAAGGTAGTCTCGACTAGGAAACCCTGGGTATTATATGGGCCCATATGGTACCCAGATTTGCCTAGTTTGCCCAGATAGATCCCAGGTTTGCCCAGGTTTGCCCGGATTTGCCCAGATCGGCCCCAACTGAAAACCCGGGTGCATTTCCCTCATGGGAAACAAGTGGGCAGATATGGGCCCCATATAACCCATTTGGGAAACTATGTGGGTTTCCCAAGTGGAACCCATATGTGTTGCCCTGATATTCCCACATGTCGCCCACATGGGCCCCAAATATTTTGCTAGCTGGGCAACATCTGACCACAGGATCATTTATGGTGTAACCTACTTTATGCAGATATGGATGTCTGCGCGGGCCACCTGCTGCGTGTGGCCCCCAGGACCCCAAAAGGGGGCTGAAAAATGCGTTGATCAATGATTGGAGGTACCATCTCAACCTCCTTAGATAATAGGTACAATACACAGATTTATGGAATGGCCCCTGCCAGACAAAATTATCTGCTGCAAATGGCCCGGCAGACATCCCGAAAGGTCCCCCAAAATTGCGCCCTAAAATAATTATTGGAGGTACCACCTCAAACCACTTTTAAATGAACAAGGACATCATACAGAGTATAGAATGGCTCCTGCCAGACAAATTATCTGCTGCAAAGGGCCTGGCAGACACCCTCCAAATATGGCCCCTATTCCCAAATCGTTCAATTAGCCTAGACTAAGTATTGTAAATACCACTTGAAATTAAGTTTAAATCATTAATTACACCCTATAGAGTACAGAATGGCCCCTGCCAGACAAATTTTCTGCTGCATAGGGCCTGCCAGACACCCCGAAAGGGGCCCCCTAAATTTGGGCTAGATCAATTATTGGAGGTACCACCTCAAACCACTTTCAAATGAACAAGTACATCCCACAGAGTATAGAATGGCCCCTGCCAGACAAATTATCTGCTGCAAAGGGCCCGGCAGACATCCTCCAAATATGGCCCCTATTCCCAAATCGTACAATTGACCTAGGCCAAATATTGAAAATACCACTTGAAACTAATTTTAAATCATTAACGACACCTTATAGAGTACACAATGGCCCCTGCCAGACAAATCTTCTGCTGCATAGGGCCTGCCAGACGCCCCGAGAAGCCCCCTTCCCAATTATTTGTAGGTACCACCTCAAACCCAAATGAATAACAACATCACACACACAGAGTATAGGACAAAAAACCACTGCCAGATAAACTTTATTCTGCTGAGTTTCATCAAACATTAGACGTTCAACATGAAACAAACTTGAATAATTATTGAACTATCGCATCTACTGTGTTAGAATATTAATACCAGACACATTTTCCTCTGCATATGAAGCGTCATATTCGTGCCTTATGTCTATTTCACTGTCATAAATAAACAGAAAGGAAAAAGAACAAGACTAGCTAAAAGTTAAAGCTGCCCTTATTGCTTTGTTTTTGATTTGCAAATCTCTGCGTTATAAACCCTCGTATACGCCGACAGATTGCGGATGTCGACATGAAAGCACTCCTTGCATGGCACTATTTGGTCAGACATAGCACACAATGGAAGAATCAAAAATGACACCAGGTTCCTGCATATTTGTGGATCGCAGCATGCATGCATGCTAGACCGAAATGCATCTGAAAATCTGCGTGGGGATCAAACACTTAAATTCTGATTCTACTATGACAAGTACATTAGATACACACAAGATACACCTAACACAAAAAGTTCCAGACAGGTGCTCATTGATCAGAAGAGTGTGCGACTCAAATTAACTTGCCGATCTGAAGCTTGTTGTTGGTGGTGCGTTTGTCGTCTGCTTTAGTATAGACTTTATTGAAGTTTACACAGATTTTTTTGGGAAAAATTCCCCCAAAATTGTGCGGTTTTGAAAGTTGAAAGATATTGACGGACTTGATCCAAGTCATAAATTCCTTTCATCTGTCTGGAACTTGTTGTTTTAGGGTGTAAATAAACTTCCAGTCTGCCTGTCTGTGACTATGACTAAGTAAAGGGTGCTGGATATCTTAGGTATCTGCATCACTGTCCGAGTCACTCCAAGTTTCAGATTGGTGCTCTTCAGTTGGTCGTCCAACGCTGTGTATAGTAACCTGTAAACGTCGTTCGTCTGAGTCTCAGGCTTATACTGACATCTCGGCGTTCGGCCTTCCTAATGGAACAAAATCATCTTCGCGCGACGTCTTTAAAGGGTCCCACTCTAGTACCATGTCGGGCGGATATAATACCATTTCACTTTTTGTTTTGATTCCACCCATACTTCATACTGGTTTTCCATATCATGGCTCCCTGGGTGCTCTGTGAGAGGTCCGGGCGACCAATTACCCTGCGCTATGTATGCTAATAGACATAGTGGGCCCTCGTGTCTTTTAATTTTGTTATGCACTGTATCCTTGCACAAGGTGGAAGAAACGAGCGCAAGCTTTCAACCCTTCTTTACATTTGATTCATTAGGGGCGTTCCTTCGTAAATAAAGATAACAGGACTAAAATCACTAATTTGCTACTAGCGGCCTACAAGATTTGGAATTTAAGTACCGCCTGGCCACAAGACATTCTATGAATGGCATTGTTTCAAAATATGTAAAAAAAATTACCTATATATTTTATAAACCTGTGTTTTCAGTCTAGCTTTCAGCCAGAGTTCTATAAACCAATATTAAACTACATTGTAAGGTTTGTGCTGATTTTTATGTACACTACTATTACGTGGGCATGATGGGAGTTGTAATACATGTA